CCCAAAATATGGCCCCATGGGCCATATTTTGGGCACCCCAGCCAGATCCAGCCTATATAGCATTCCTGTTTGGCTCTTGCCACCAGTGCAAACCTCATTCTTTTCAGAATGTTACAGACCAATCCAACATCCAGAGTTTTGACTATATTTTTTTAACTCTGGGAAAATCAATTGCATATTTCTTTTGAATTTGTTTCCACATAATTTAAAATATCATCACAAGAAAGCTTTATTTAAATTCTGCTTCATTTGAAGATAAGCAATTGCCATTAATGGACATGATCACTCAGGCTAATATATGAAAAAAGTTGAACAAAGAGTGTGCAACTAAGCTTTTGCTAAACTGTAATCTGATTCCAAAAGGCATTGCAAAAACTTGTACATGTTCAATAACTTTGAGCATTTTGAGTACAGTTGAACCTCAATAATTCCAACCTCACCTCTCTAAGTTTAATTCTTTTCAAGTCCCCATTTGAATCCCCCTACAATGCATTCAAAACCTCCTCAATGTGATGGTATCTCCTCTCAAACATGGTCAGGTTTGAATTATCTGAGGCCTGTTATCTTAACTGATTGAATGATATATGGTTGCACCAGAATAAATAAATAAACAATCAGTATACAAAAATATATATATATATATGACTAAATATATTCTTTGGTTTCAATAATTCACAATACCACAATACACTCAAATACACGCAATACACTCAAGATACTTTTTAGACTAAAGAAGTCTTGCTAAAACAATCCAAGTCTTCTTGAGAACAATTGCAAGAGTCTCCAACTCAATTCTCTCTGGAAGATTCTGAGGAAATAATACAAATATGGAAGTACATATACTTCCAAATAATTGGCTCATGAAAAAGTTTCAGAGCTAGAAAGCGTATCCGGGTCTTTAGGCCAGGATGTTGAGTTCTTGGGAACCAGTACAGAATATTACAGAATATATAAGAAGAAGAAATTATATTTGAGGAAGCTGCAACTTACCACCTGTTGCTGACAGCAGAGAAATGGAACAGCAACAGAAATATACAATTGCAAGGGAAATGGGTCATGCACATTAATGAGGGAACAGCGCAAAAGTTGACAAACCAAAACAAGAGGAGAAATAAATACGTGGGAAAAGTCTTGTGCCATAATTTCCAGTTTTGAGAAGGAAGACATAATTTTAAAGGAAACTGAAACTAAAGTGTCAAGCTCTTTGTAGGATAACAGGACTTTTGAATATTTTCTTGACACAGGAAAGGAAATTCAATGAAAATGGAACTGTATGTGTTTTGAAATGGGGCAAATGAACCCCAGTCTCCCATGTTCAGCATCCAAACAACTCATCTAAGAAGCAAAGCAAAGCAAAGAATATCACCATTAACAATTTCCTGCAATTTCTCTATGTTTCATACAACAAAAAAGCTTGTTTCAGTTACTCACCTGAATTACTCAAAACCTCCATAAGTTGAAATCTGTCACAATGCACAATGTACAATTACAAGTAATTTTTTTTGGGTCCCTTGAAATTTGACTTGGAGAGGTTGGGCTGCATAATGAGCAATACTTTATTCTTCTTCTGGCCCTCCTTGCCATGTGGGATGTGGCTCATCAGCACTATTTTGGAGTTGGGCACCACTACAATACAGTACCAAATGAGCTCAATTATAGATGTAATTCAAAAGGCAGTTGCCACACAGAAATGCTTTCTCCTGCAGAATTCCCACACATGCCAATAACAATAAGAACCAGAAGATCCAAGTCGCTCAGCAGCTGAAAAGGGCATGCAGCTCACACTCCCCTCTTATACAATGCCCTGGCTGCCGCGGAGTTGATAACTGACTCCTTGGACCAGGGCAAAGAATGTTTATATTCACTGGGGGTGCCAGTCAAATCGGCTTGTTTATCCGCCAGCATGAAGGTCTCTTGTGCTCTGAAAAACTTCCCTCTTTTTCCTGCTTGCACACAAGAAAATAAAGCACCCTTCCAGCCTTCCCTTTATTCTCTCCCTTCCTTTTTTTTCAATGCAGCAGTCAGAAAGTTCAGCTTAGCAGGGAATCCAATAGCTTGTATTATTATCTGGGAGTTCATGTCACCGGAAACCTGGTAGGAATATTTATGGGTGGGGAAATTGGATTTTTGGGTGAATAATTTTCCACAATTTCTTTCAGCAGGAGAAAATGGAAAATACTGTGGACTTGTTTCAAGCTGGAACCATATTAGAACTAGCTCATTTCCAGCAGCATCAAAAATTTACAGTTGACCTTCAGTGAATAAATTTAGTGAGCTACAGGAGGAAATTTGCTGGCAAAACATGATTGTCCCTCTGACTTTGGTTGAGGAAAATTAGCCTGTCCTTGTTCATCAAAAAGCACTCATGACTTGGGGAAAATTGCTGACTTATTCATGCTATAAGCACACATCAGGTCTGCAGGGGGTTTGGTTGTGGAAATCTTGATTGAACCTTGTGAACGCTGAAAGTGGCAAATACATTGTTCTGCTCATTCATTCATTCATTCATTCATTCATTCATTTGGTGTTTTATCTTCTGAAAGGAAAATTTGGAAAAGGTTTATTGTCTGCACACTCAGGCGGAGAAACGCGGGGTTAGTTGATCGGAAAACCGCGCCTCTGAGCAAGAACTCCAATTAATTTTTTTAATAAAAAATTGCCTCACCCTGTATAGGTTATTTTCTTTGCGGTTAATGCAGAAACTTATTTTGGTACCGGAAAAGAAACAAGTGGGGGGAAGGCGGAAAAAATTGCTTTGACGAGCGCGTGACAAGTTGCCTCTGACAGTTGCGAGCTCGATTTCCTTCCGCCAGCTTGGCACGAACCATTCACTGGCAAATTCGGACCAAAACAACCATTATTTTTTGTAATAAATATTTCTGTACGAACCCTTGTTTGCAAATCATTTATTCAAAGGACTTAAATTTAGCCTGTCATATGGAAATATAATGCTACTCATCAACGCCAGCTCTGAAAAAAAAAAACGCGCAGAAAATGGCATCATCATCATTGGTCCAATGATTACTCAAATTTATTGCTAAATTCCCAAGTGAGTGAGAAAAACTCATGTTATTCAATTCGTGGATTTTTCTGATTTGCGTTTTGATACAGAGTCGAACTTCTGCAAGTCAGAGGAACCCATAAAAAGAACTTGACTCTTGCAGTTTTTGGTCTATGCAAACTGAAATGTGTCTAGGAAAAAATATTAGCAATTACAGCAGGTTAATATAGAATTGTTGACCTCTTGAGCCTCAAACGGTGTAGTAAATGAGTTGACAGTAAATTTTCCCAATTAGTCACCGGCTTCTTTGTGAAAATCCCACAATTTCATGAAATAAACCCCATACATGGATAGTGAGAGTATTATTTTTTGGTACTATACACAACATTGAAAATCCATGACTGCGTGAAAATTCGAATACAATGAAAATTTTCCCAACTTAGTTGGTAAATTATAAATCCACTCGACGAGACAGAAAGAGAATCTGATGGTAATAAAAACAATTGTATATATTTTTTCAGTGATCTCACAAAATCGTTTCGCAATTCAAAAAACCCGAGTACGAGGCAAAAAGAACGGAACTATAATGAGTGAGGTATCGAAAACTCCGCAAAGAAACCATCAATTTCATCGTGAGGTAAATCAAAATGTGATTTGTGATAAAAACGTCCGTTGATTTCGAGTACCGTATTTTTTTTTTAACGTAAGATGATCAATACACCAAAATATGTCATGATTTCCAAGAAAAAACCAAAGAGGTAACTGTTGAGAGGTAACTTTCGGGACCCAAAACACATCCCTGATCATCGTGGATTCTTCACCTTATTCGAAACCAAAATGCCATCGACAAAATATTTTTTTTTTCAAATATTTTACACCAGAAAACAAGCTCTGACCATAGGCAATTGAATGCCAATTGTTTGCTTCCCGTCCATGTACAAAAAACAAAACCTTGAGAGTCGAAGAAAAATCTTCTTCCGCGCTGAATTCCAGCTTTTTCTGCTGCTTTTCATAGACCTCAAAAGACAAAAAAAATACGTACACGGTGGACCAGAAAAAATACAGATTTTCAAACAGCTGCTGTATCCCCTGCAGAAATTCATGTGACCACATTTGAAAAGATAAATACAGTATTTCAAAAATAGTTCCCATAATAATTCCTCGAATAAATCAAAACATTATCGCTTTAGATGCAGTTGTATGACCATTACAAGGAATTGAGAAAAGTTAAATCTCAGTGACTGGAAGGAGAATATTTTTCTTAGGATTACAGGGTACACGTGGAACCAGGACACTTTCATTGAATCCTTTCAGCTCACAACAAAAATATCTTTGTTTTTGGCCTTCTGGCGAAAATATCCAAGTAAATAAAATGAGATTGATTTCCACTTATACTGTCGGCAATTGAAAAGCACGCAAAAACAATTACATGGTGAAGTACATAAAATGACATTAAATCTGTGTAAAAAAAAAGTCAAGTTCTTTTACTCGGTGTAATTTTTATCGTTTTTTTCTGTCATACTCATACTAGAGGTATAAAAACAATGAGGTTCGGCGTATGTCATTCAAAACTTATTTAAAAAACACAATTAGATTTATTGTTGATACATTTTTCAGAGGGCATATCACAGTTGAAAATCGGTATTTTTCTCCCAGTACACCTTGTACAACAATTTACTTCATTCGCCTTCAAGTACTTGTCCAAAGGATGCAATATATACGAAATCACCGAAATCAAACCATGATGGGTTCCCCTCGAACAATGCTAGCCTTCGATATTGTAGAATCAGTGTTGCCAATCTCGGCATACAGCTCGTCATCGCTATACGACGAATGATTCCTGTTATGCGGACGCTGGAAGGCGCCACCGCCGCCGCCAACATGAATCTTCGTCACGTTCCTTGGAGCAGGTGTCGGGAATTCGCGACGCTTGCGCGGCTCTGTCCAACCGCACCGTCGAGCATCATACGACATCTGTTGATCGTGAGAAAAGTCTTCGGATTCTGGCGTCCACATGCTTTGCTCGATGGCGCGCAAGACTGATTTCGGGATCCTGTTCCTGCCCAGTGTTTTCGCCATAGAGTTTGTACTGGCTTCTTGCAGCAAGTCTCGGAGAGATGTCTCACTTTGTCGTCGAGATAAACTCCATGTAGAAGTGCCGATGCGACCGTAACCCGAATCTGAGCTAACATGGCTGGGTGGAGAATATATGGTCTTGTTGTTGGTCCCTTCCACAAATGCCTGAATGGGTATGCAGTAATTAATATACCGGTAAACATTGCAAATTCTCAATAAAGTCTAGAACTGTACATGCATTACAGTAAAATGAAAAAAATGGCAGCCAAAATTCAATTTTAAAAAGTTTGTCATCCCATCTGTTGAATTTCATGGTTGTCACTGAAACAAATACCCCTTCGCAAAAAAAGTCTTCTCAGCAGTAAGATAGATCTACAAGTACTGGAATTCAATGAAGAGCCCTTTCTGAAATCTTAAAGGATCAAGATAAACTGTTGGCTTTATATGATTTCTTATCAAAGATTCTCCGTAATTTCTTCATTCAACTAAACCCCATACAGAAACAAGCTGAAGACCTTGTGCTTTAAATTAATTGTTCACATATATTTTGTTACCAATGTCAGGGAATGAATCGGTGTATGCATACATGTCAGATTTCCAGTTATATTTCATGTTGTATTGTATTTTCTTCTATTTTTGTTAGCAATTTGTGCTTTCCTGCTCTGGAGTGATAAAACTGTCATTGAGTGGATTTGGGTTGGGTGGGAAGGGGGGTTTGGTTGCGGAAATCTTGAGTGAACCTTGTTAATGCTGAAAAGCTGCAAATAAAGTGTTCTGTTCATTCATTCATTCAGTACATGAGTCATGTACAGTATAATGTCCCATTGGGACACGACCTCTGATATTTCTATACAGTCGGTGTGATGGTAGAAAAAGAAATTTGTGACATAACCGATGAAGTTCTGTTGTTCTGGGATTATTTTTTCGGATTATTATTTTTTCAAACAATCTACTGCAAGAATGATAAATTAAAACTTTCCAGCAGTTACTGTCAGAGTTATCCACCCATGTTACAAGGTGCAAACATTTTTAGCACGAGCTAAAGATTTGATTTTGCTATTGTCTTGACCAGTGTTCCCCGACCCGTGGTCCGCGGACCAGCGCCGGTAAAAGGTGTTTTTTGCTGGTCCACGGGACATTTTCTTTAGCATAATTCATTTATAAAAATTAGCAATGAAGTCTATTAATTTTATCTGATATTTTGAAAAGACAATGGTTGTGATAATCATCTCATGAAAAACAAAGATGGATTTTCTTAATAACACTTCAGACAAAATTTTGCCTGCTGAAATAAATCATTTCAATCTTAAATTGTCAAAAACTTTTCTTCAACACTTCTTTGATGACATTCCACCACATCGCTGCTAAATTGGTTCTTGAACGAAGTTTGCAGAAACATTTTAAATAATTGTTGCCAAGTCTTTCAAGCAAAACTCTTTTGAGTCGAAAAAAGCAAAATTTTTTTGGGAATTTGCTGGTCCGCAATAAATGTTATATACATTTGCCGGTTTAGAGGCCCAAAAAGGGCGCAGAACGCACTCTACTCTACGTTTTAGATAATGGTTGAAACAAAAACACATTTAATGTTTTCACCTTTTTTCCGTCGTATGAATCAGTCTTTTGTTCATTCAACTAAACCCCATACAGAAACAAGCTGAAGACCTTGTGCTTTAAATTAATTGTTTACATATATTTTGTTACCAATGACAGGGAATGAATGGGTGTATGCATACATGTCAGATGTCAAGTTGTATTTTGTGGATTGTATTTTCTTTAATTTTTGTTATCAATTTGTGCTCTGTTTCCTGCTCTGAAGTGATTAAGATGTCATTGAGTGGATTTGGGTTGGGTGGGAATGGGGTTTGGTTGTGGGAATCTTGATTGGACCTTGTGAACGCTGAAAATTGGCAAATAAAGTGTTCTGTTCATTCATTTATTCTCAGCAGTTAACTTCTAGATTGATATATAGCTGGACAGAATAAACAAAAACCACCAAGCGGGTTTCTGTTTCTTTGTTTTTAGGGTACTTTTATTTGCTTTCTCCTTGAAGATTATCTCTAAATTGCTCAATACTGATTAAAATTTATCTAGAAACTCGCTCAACATCTTGCACTTTAATCTGTTCTCAATCAATAATTGCCTTGTGCTGTGATTTTTGTCATCCCAAATAAGAAAGTATGGCAACTCATGATTTATGTAGTTGTATATACTGTTATGTATTCTCTTTTAACAACCATACAGGGAATTATTTGTTCCTATGAAATGCCAGAATGTATTTGAATGCACGAGGGCATGTTAATGTAGGAAATATGTTTTCAACCTTGTGATCGATGCGGACAAGCAGCAAATAAAGCTTCTACTGCATATCAATCAATCAATTGATCAGTTCATTTGGTATACATTTACTTTGTTCTTGCTGCCATAAGCTTTTTTTTTGCCGGAAACTTGAAACTTTGGCGGTGCTTGTTTCCTACATACGCCACTGGAAGACGCTTTTGAAAGAGCCAAAACCACTATAAATAAGTGGCATATATTTTTAGGGTTTTATTGAAATCAGAGAAAAGGTGTTACTGTATATACCCGCAAGAGTTCCCGCTGAACCTTCTTGTTGTGACCCGTCACAATGCCGTCGGTGTCGCGGTCGTCACTTCGAGCAGCCTGGAACAAGTTGAGCCAGAACTCGGCGTCGTCCTTCGTCATGCCTTGCTCGACACCTCTGTCGACACTGCGGCCTCTCAGTCCCTCATTCCGCCTCCTCAAAGTCCGCCGCCGTCGCGTCGCAGCTCTGACGAGTGTCGCCATATCATCATGTGTCGCTGCAGCTGGCAGCAATGAAGACGACACTGTCGACGACGACACGTCGAACTGGCTGCTCGTGGTGGTATTAGCTTTCGACATTGACGAGGAAGTGGAGGAAGAAGAAGCTGCTTCCGAATGGTGTTTCCGGGTCTTGTGGCGAGTCTCGCATTTGCGAATCATCACAAACACTGTGACGGCGGAGATGAGCAGGCAAAGCACGGCGCCGACGACAGCAGTGACGAGCATGTACACTCGACAGCTTTGCAGCTGGACCGTGTTGTTTCCTGCTGCTTCCGGTCGCCCATCTGAGAATTTCCGGATCTCGAAATTAGTAAAAATTTTTATACGAGACAGAAAAATAATTTTCGCAATATTATAAGAGTCCAATACGGGAACTTGAGTATTTCGAGATGCTTTGATTTGAAAATTTTACAATATTTTTTTTAATGGAATAAGGTTAATGATTGTCATGATTCCAACCTGTGTAGCGATCGAGGATTCGGACGGAAATTTCGTTTTCAAAATCGTTGGTTTTATTATTTGCTTTCGAGATGCTCGTTGGCGTCGTCGACACCAGTGTGGAGACTTGGAACTCGACAGTGGTGTTCTTGTCGACACTTCGACGTCGTCTTCCGAAACCTTCTCCTCTGTCGTCGCCACATAAAACCTAGTTTACACAAGTCGACAATTGAACTTCAGATGAGTAAAAGATTAAAATTAGTTGGAAATTGATTTGGGCACAAGAATCACAAGTTTCCCTCAAACGCGTCGAACGGGAGTGTACCTAAATCGAGATGAAGTCGATAACAATTTCACGTAAATACTTGCAGGTCTCGACAGAATTTAAAATTTACCCCAAAAAGGTTAGAAATATCTGAATATTCGTTTAGGAGACATTAATATTTACAAATAAATGAATTTTTCTGATTTATTTTGCTCAGTTTGAATTAAATAAAGGGAGCATGGCTTCTTCCAAACGGGGAATGCCAAAATGCCGCTATATACTCGGAAAAATTTTAAACCCTGAAAAACATCCTGTGCGAACATAAATTTAACTTATTCATGACCAGATGCCCTTGAGACATTTGAAATTTGTCACGTTATTTATACGAGGGGTCTAACAAAAGTGCTCGGAATAAAAAGTGAAAATTCAGACGATTGCGCTGAAAAACTGTTATTGATCAGAAGAAAAGATTGTGCCAAGTTGATTTCAAGAATTGTGTAGTATAACTTTGGATGCGCCAAAAAAGTATGCGAGATTGGTGCCTAATCTCTTGAGTGAAGAGCAGAAAGCTGCCAAGATGACTTTTGCAAAAATTTTCAGCAACATATTTTTTTTTGTGACAAAGACTGCTTTTTTTCTTGAGCCAAAGATTTTTTCTGAACAGCAACCGTTTTTTCAGCTCAATCTTTGGTGCCTTTTCAATTTTCATTCCCAAAGCTTTTGTGACACAACTCGTGATTGAAAATACTCTATACAATATATGTATATATATTTCCGGTTCATACCGGAGCGCAATCGATGGCCTCGACACAGGCCATGACCTTAGCCGATATTTTCACACTGTCCCCATTCCTCATGTTTTGAAACATGAAAGCCCGGAACCCGAAGTTGTTGATGAGTGGATTGATCTGGTCTTTGGAGGGATGATCAGGTGCGAGGAGTCGGTATTTCGGGTTCCGACACCCGTCAGAGAAGACCAGACGGGCCGACTGGCTCGGGGTTCTCAGATCGCTGTCGTCGTCGACGTCGTCGTCTTCTTGTGACGACGATCCGATCGCTGTCGATGACGGCACACGACTCACGATGACGTCAGTCAATTTCGAATGATGCCAACCTGAAGACAACAGCAGAAAATTATTGAGTATTCTGTAGGATATCGCTGGTTATTTTATTTTTTCTTTACAAAACGCAACCGATTGATGATATCTGTAAGAAAAAAAAATTGATTGACTGCTTTTGTAGCACAGTCAAACCTCTCTAACTCAAACTTCAAGGGAACAGAAACACATGTCGAGTTACTGCAATAAGGGAAAAATGCAGTTTTGTTGGGGGAAATCGAGGAGAATTGAAGGAAATTATAATTAATGATATTCTGAACCACAAATTGCTTCTTGAGTTGAGTTTACAAGGGGGATGCCGAACTTCGAGAAAAGGGTTCCTTTACCCAATTAGTCTTTTACTTCCTTTTGAAAATTCGTCACGTTTTTCTGTGTCAATAAAGTAATATATAAGGCCTCCAGAAAATTCGAGTTATGGAGATTTGAGAGAAAAGTCTTTGAAGTTTGGGAGTTTTTTAATGCACTGTTTCTAAGAGGCTCAGACAGAATTTTGAAAAATTCGACATAGCTAGGGATTTTTGATGCATCGAGGTTCAACTGTAAAAATAAATGTTCTCATGTTTCCGATCAAAAATTGCATACATTCTTCAATCTATCCAACCAAAAGTACATTAAAATTAAAATTAATGTTCCTAAATATTTCTAGATATTCCAAATAAATAATCGACTCAATTTCCTTTTCATCGTGGAAAAAGTGCACAAAAGTTGGACAAACCGTCGCCAGATCTGACAATGCTACGAAGCTGAATGTCCTCCCCAAGGTCAATGGAGGAGCCCGGCAAAATTCGTTTGGAAAACGGCGCCGTTCCAGGGAGGCGCCGAAAAAGGCCGATTTCACTCTCAAATTCCTGCAAACCGCCTGAGTAAATTGTCGGCGGGGATCGCTGTTCCACTCTGCAAAATCGAATAAAATAAAAAAGTGATTGAGGTCCCTCGCTCAACAGCAGTTGTTCTCAAACTTTACCATCAGAGGCACTTTCATCAACTTCACAGGATGGTCAACAAAAATATTTAAAGGAAAAGTGAATTTAATCTAGGACAGGCATGTCATTTTAAGATGTAACAAGAATTTTCTAGAAATCGTGTGTCTGTATTTCGAGGTTTAGGAGACTTTTTACGAGACGCTATTATTTTCGTAGCCAACAATGTAAGGCACAGATGTCGCCATTGGTGCGACAAATATTTGCAGGAATACTGCATTTTTTATATATGCTGTGCTATATACACCACAAATTTGTACTTCAACACAGAAGCTTCAGAAACGAAAAATTAGCTCGTTTTCCCCTCATCTGAAATGTCTTGTTTTTTACTTGAAAACTGGAATGAAAGGTTTTAAGGAAAATATCTAATGATTTTTAATATAATCTAATTTTAGAATTAAGTTAAAATTCTTAAATTATTCTAAGGGACGATGAGAAGACCCTGTGAATTTTTATTGATGAATTTTTGATTTCTTATAATTTTATTAAATTTAATTTCTATTTTGAACAGTATACATATGAAGTTGAGAAGAAAATCCCTCATTTGAGATTTGAGAGGCACATTTCGAACAAAGAAGACTTTAAAAATACGACAGAGAATGACTTCCGCTAATAAAGGAAAGTGGCGTGTAACGGAAATTATGTCGTTCGCGAACCCAAATTTTTGTTCAAACGTGAATGTAAAGAGACAGAGTGGAAAGAAGTTCAATTTCCCGTTAAAACATTGTGTATTAGTATGATTGATTAATATGAAAAGAAGGAAAGTGGTTATTTTCGCCTACCTGACTCCAATCCCGCGTCCTTGTGCCATGGCCTCAAGATCCTGTTTGGTTATGTCATTTTCAAAAACCCCTTCTTCAAGATCACTGAAAACAAACCAAAATCCGAATTCCAACTACTGCATATAAAACGTTTTCCTTTTTTTCCGGAGCAAAAATCTACTCAAATCTGCACCGAAATAAATCTACGCGACACCGGCCCGAATTGATACCCCGAATAGGAATATTCAAACCATGGCTCAAGTACACACCCTGGACGAGCCAATAAACAATGTATCGTCGAAGTTAGTCGTATTTAGTTAGTCTGTGTGTGTGAGAAAAGCGAGACGTAAATGTCGGAAACGGAAACTTACTCAGCACTCAGGAAGTCGATGGACTTTCTCTGTGCCACTGATCGGTCTTGTGGCCGACATTTGATGACGATCACTTCGTCCTCTGGCAATCGCAAGCCTGGCACAAGCGGGAATCTGATCGTCACGCACAGCCATTCCTATGAAGAAAAAAAACATTACAAAAAGGACATTTTTTTAAACCTTCAGACAAAGACCTCTGTAACCCAGAAATGAACCATAAATTTCCACATAAACATTCCACTATACTTCGAGGGGACGTATTATTCTAAGGAATAAGGCTCATCTTCAGAAGTGCCAGATCGGAATTCGATCAGTTTCGAAATAAGCACAAATTGCAGCCCTGTATGGAAGTAATCTTCAAAGATAAATCGAGATTACTCCCCGCCAAAAAGCTTATTTCTCAATTCAGGTATCGTCAAAGAATGATTTTGATCATCTACCTGAGAGTTTAAAAAAATGATGAATTTTCTCTCATCAAAATGCACGGCAGAACATATATTCCAATCTCGAATTGAGATATTTTACTAAAGACACCGTCGAAGTTTCATGATTTCATGAGTATATCCACTCAAACTTGGACTACAGAAATTTGACAGTAAAACAGAACGACGTCGTATCCTTTCTTACTCTTCAATTATAAAATTTAGCATTATTTACCTATAACACTGTTCATTGAAAAACATTTGGTCTCCACTTTTCATAAACTTGGAAACTTCGCTTTGATTAATGTTTCGCTTCTTTTATAAACTTTCCAAGTCTCAGAATGTATGCAGAAAAAATCGTGTGACTCAATTCAAACTGTGCAACGGAACATAAAGTTCAAACCTCCAATTGAGATATTTTACTAAAATCCCCGCCGCAGTTTCATAAACGACTGTTGCCTATAGAATTATTGGAATGGCAGAAATTTGTCAGTAAAATGATGCCGAATCCTTCCTTAGTTTTAACCTATAAAATTTAACATTAATTTACTGCTGTTCTTCAAAAAACTATTGGTCTCCACATTTCAAAAATTTGGAAACTTCGCTTTGATTAAAGCCCCGCTTTTTTTTTATAAACCTTTCCAACTTTCCCAGTGTTAGGATGATTATGTAAAAAATCGTATGACGCAGTTTTCCCTCACTCGAATTAGTCGTATTCAGGAATTATTTCCAAATTGGTACACCATCCACGACCATGCTGCATAAACGGATCAGAAACTTTTTGACGATTACAAAAAATTGACGTTTCAAAACACTATAGAAACAATTTATAGTAATGTTAATCCACTCAGCGTACATATGATAATTCAGAAATGGAAACGTATAGTCTTATAGAAAAGAGGATACATTATTGCCAACAACGTATCTTTTTTGTTTTTGTTCTTCGAAGAAGGAATTCTCGAAATTATGAGACTTCCCCTGGGGCATTAGAAAAAATACCGGATCAACTCCGGCCGCCAAGATGAACGCGTGGGAGAAAAAGATTTGCCTTCGGGCTCATCGTCAGCGACGTTGTCACGGATGGTCGATGACGATCGAATGAGTTTAAGTGATGCGTGACACGCCAAGAAGAATATAACAAGGTATGCGAGGCAAAAGAATAAAAAACAATGGAGATGGAACAATAAATGGATGGGAATGGAGATGGAATGCGTGCCAGGCACGTTTTGACCCAGTGCTCGATTTTTCTCTCTCTCTCTCTCTCTCTNGACGTTGTCACGGATGGTCGATGACGATCGAATGAGTTTAAGTGATGCGTGACACGCCAAGAAGAATATAACAAGGTATGCGAGGCAAAAGAATAAAAAACAATGGAGATGGAACAATAAATGGATGGGAATGGAGATGGAATGCGTGCCAGGCACGTTTTGACCCAGTGCTCGATTTTTCTCTCTCTCTCTCTCTCTCTCTGGGGTGATCCACATCATCATCCCTGCATGCTTTGCGAGTCGTTAGTCATAAAACGATACACTTTTTGTTCTTTAAAATCCTACATAACTTTCCTCTACAGTCTCTAGAGATCCTCAGCAATCCGCTGGGAGGAAGACGGAGTTTTGCTTCATCCGGGATAATGAGGTCGTAAAATGAATAACCTTCGGCGAAAATTCCCCCCGGGCGACGAAATAATTATCTGCTCGCATATTTTTGCATTGTATTGATTACACATTGCTTTTCGCTCAAACCCCTCTGAAAATTATTAAATCGAACGTTTTATGTTGAAATGGAATACATTTTTATAATCTGGAACAATAGATAATTGTTTTTTATTCGTTGATCTAATTTGAGGAAAATAGATATGAACAAAAATTAGACTCATATCAAAATTTCTAATACATTTAAAACGACAAAATATTGAAAACATTTGCTGAAAAAAATTTTGGAAAAAAATTTTCAACTATTATGACTTTCCATGACCGTATAATGTACAGTAGTTGAAATTAAATTTCTTGACGAATTCGAAATTTTTTTAAAAGGACGATGTATAAAGCTGCATTGTTGTATACATGATGTAAATGATCTCGTGAAGCATTAATAGCGATGAAAATTAATTTGATTGAGCTTCAATTCAGCTTTCAGAAACTTTCTTATATCTTGAAAATCGGTCCGAAATTGTGTGTATAAAATTTTCTTAATTCTACTTGCGAATTCTAAAACGTGTCCTTATTCGACGTTTGAATTATTCTTTCAATTCTTCTCAACACGTGTCATCTGATGAAAAAATTAAACTCACCTGTCCGTTGGGTTGCTTGCAAGAAACGACGCCACAGGGTTCGAGCTGAGAGATTTGCAACTTGTACAATTGCGGGTTTATTGGCAATGGACGCAATTTGCAGTGAGGGTGTGAACCCGGGTCGACATCCTCAGAAACGTCCTCAAAAACGGGTCCTTCCGAAAAACCGGCCGGAAGTTTCAAGGTCGCCGAAAACACTTCATTCCTCGGCATATTCATGCACCTAATGTCTTGGAACAGAAAAAAAAATAATAAGCAAAAATCAGTGAATTCTTCAAATTTGAATTCAAAACTATAAGAAGAGCAGGGAAAATCAAACATCACTGCCAAATTTATTCCCCGTTTTCGCTGGTTCTCCAGTCTTTCGAATCATGATTTTTGCGATGATTTTGTCAAACATTCTTCGGAAAAGAACAGAAAAAAATATCAGCAATTAAGACCAGAAAGAGTCGATCTTTCATCTCAAAAAGGTAAGGTGTGGTCGGCATTTTCCCACGAAGAAATGTTCGGAAATTGTTTTCGTCCTACTGTTCGATGGGGTTTAAATCCGGGAAAATCCCTTACATTAGTGATACAAAAAATGGCAGGAAAAGCCCCGTGCAAAATTCGGCATCAGATTTGCTAGTTGAAGAAGTAGGAAGGAATGTTGATGTACTTCCTGAGATATGAAATCAACGAACATCGCTCCATTCGTTCTTCTCAGCAACTTTTCTTAGAGTTAAAGCAGTGAGAGTTTCTCAAACGAAAAAAAATGTAAATTATAAATTATGGAATTAATTAATCTTGGGTTTGTGAAAACGTGCTGCTGTCAGCACCCAGGAAAGTTTGTCGGATGAAACAATTTGCGAATGAAAATCCTTTCAATCGCTGATAAATCACGGATTATACTTCGGGCGAAATTCAATTTATATTTTTATTTGATTTAATGGCAGCCATGAATCCAACTCATTATTTCTCAAGGATTAAACGCTTTTAAGAAACCTCAACTGCGAAATTATCGATTCAAAATCATTCGGAAACGTTTTCTAGTTTATTTATTTGAATCATTCAATGCAAAGGAATGGCACGTAAACATTGAAATTCTCTCCGTGATGTTGCGCTACATTTGCAGCTTTTATCTGCTCTCTACTTAATCTTTGGTGCGCAAAAAAAAAAACATTGCTGGTCGGAAAAATATGCAACATCTACGTTGTGAAATTTACAATCTTTTCCATTAGCTTATATAACACGATTTCAGCGAGGGAATTCCCATGTTTATCATTTTACGGTGCTGTCAATATCCGGAGTGGGTGAAAAATTCCTTTGCCGCCCCTGCCTCTGCAACAAATGCCGTGGTATGGGGCAAAACAATCAAGGGTCATCCTAAAATTCCAAACTCTACACAAAGTTTCACACTGTCAAAAAAAAATCATTTCTGCACTTATTCCATCTCCATCAGTAATGCAAAATGAATAGCAGTAGCTACAGTATAAGGCTTGATCGATGATGAGACTGTGCTCTAACTATTTACATTAAGCGATGAATTCAATGCATTTCAGCTACTGTTTTTCTTTTTTTACTTTAAAAGGGGCGTTCATAAATATCTTGAATATTCTAGATTATTGCGTTCACTCTATATTCACTGCTTCAATCTAAATATTTCCCTCATATGAACTGAATAAAATTTGTAATAAGGCATTCAATTGTGTAATTTTGAAACTGTTATGAAAAATATATAAATTTAATTGATTTCAAATAGTTAGAAGAACAAAAAGAATTGCAGAGCTAACTGAGCTTTTCTCATTCTATCCTCTGGAAATTAAAACGAGAGTTCCTATTCGTTCAATTTAAAAATGAAAGCACTTTTCGCAATCAAAATGTGCAGCGAAAATACAGTAATTAAAATACAAATAAGGGGATAATAAAAAGAAGACCAATCCTCAAGTTACGATTGTGCACAAACTTGAAGTTGATTCCAGAATGCGAAAAAGCATGAAAGAGTTTTAATATTACATATTTGTATTTTAATCTCTTCAAACTGTCCAGAGTCTGTCGCAGGAAATTTTTTTTTTCAATTTTAAATGATCAATGCGGTATTTTTCACCTCAGCCGCTTTTCTTGGAATGCTGACGCAAAACGAAATCCGCGTTTTCTATCTGTCATAACTTAATTGACGCAAAAATTGCGAAATTTACAAATTTGCAGGACGAATTTTCGGTAAGTTCGCATAAAGTTTCGGTAAGTTCTTTCAGGAAATTTATTGACCGAAAATTGAGTAGGTGAGAATCGGTGGCAATCACTCACCGCCGAAGAAAGCTGTTTCTCTGAAGCCGAAGTCTGTGGCTCCTTAGAAACGGACTTGAAGTTCTCAAAGGCTTCGCCGACGCCCGATGCTGTCGGAAACTTTTCCTTTCTGGGGTTCAAGGGGTTCTTGGAGGACGAGGGGTCCTTGACGGCGGGGCCCGAACCCGACGCGATTTCGTTGTCCCCCGATGTCACGTCTCTGCTTACCAAGTTCTCGGCGACTGGGATTCTGTGAAGAAAAGGAAAGAAGATATTAAAGATCGATTGTACAATTTAAAAAAAGGAAAGGAAATATCCGGGTGAATGAGATCAATTACTTTTCAAACTTCGGGTAACGCAGCGACTTGAATCCTCGATTTTTCAATAAATTGAATGGAAGGAACATTTCCAATCAATTCCTACTGTTTCAAATGTAACCCAGACTTATTTATGCACTCGAAGCTTCAACTCGAGTCATTTTTAAGGTTTAAATTCAGGTAAGTGATTTTTTGCTGACACCCTGATGCGCATTCCATTCATTTTCATCACCAGAGCTCATATCAGCTGACAAAGTTCACTTGAAAATGCGAGAAATCGTTTGTTACAATCTTTTGGATCGCCCAACACACATACATGCCTCAAACAGGAGTAATGAATCAATTTCTTCAGAACTGACATTTATCTCGCCAAACAAATAAAGTTTTGCAACAATTTTACAGCATTTGTACGTACTCAGAAACTATTTTTTTCTCACCAGGTTTAGTTCAGTTATTACTTTAGTACACCTGAGGTTCAATAATGAGTGGAGGCAAGGCTTCCGTTTTCTGTAATCCAATTTTCGATTCTACTTTAATTCCTTTTTGATGTTTTGCGATTAAATGTAAGAGTAAAGTAAAATCCGTATGACGGTAAATGATTGCTACCAATTAATATGTTCATCCAAAGCATAAAAAGTATGCACCTTAATTCGCTCATCACTTGACTCATGAAAAATAGTGCATTCTAAAATTTTGCAATGAGTTTCCAATCGAGTACCCATCCAAACATCGAAACAAACTTTTCTTAAAAATCGTAAAAATTAATTTGAAAGCGTATTCAATGAACTCCTATATAGAGTATTCAAATACAAGGTAATCATCTATTCAATATGTATATTACCGCACAAATTTCTGTAATGTTTTTTTATTCAGTTGCGTTTAAAAATAATTTTGATTTTATTTTTCACCAAAATTTCATGACTCTCCATTAGTATATATCACTAAAATTCCATATTATAGTGTATTAATCCCGAAAATGCTTTGCCTCGGACGATTAGTCGATTACGCGGGAATTTGGAGTGATCATTATAAATTTGGAATATTACAGTGTTCATCAGAAACTTCGGATCATCAAATTCTTCACTTGAAGGAAGAAAATTTCATCGCGATTCTTCAAAGATCGGATAATAAAAATTATGCTCTGCTCTTATGTTACTCAAAGACAATCATACTTCGCATCAATAATGACGTAGTTCATATTCATTCAAACTTTTGATAATTATTTGATCATCGCGAGATGATCAACTTTCGCCTACAATTAAAAATGTAATGGATTGAATGCCTCATTCACTGGATCCGGAATAACTGAAGGCAAATTTTGATGACATTCAACGTTTGCAGGGTAAATGTCAACTTTGCAAATTATTTCATCATTGGGAGATACTTTTTGATCAAATTGAAACTCAGAAACGTCATTTCGTCTCCATGTGTCTGGAGCTTTGAACGCGGATAAATGAAAGCAAGTTTAATCACAACATCAGGGGGTGATTAATTGTCCAATATACTACCGTACTATAATGATTAATTATTAATTTTGCTGAAGTAATTTGAAATCATCACCTCGTACTCGGTGGCGCCACGACGACCCGACTGACAGTCGAGGCCTTGAAAGAACCCCAATTGTCGTGGGGCAACGCCGAAGGCTGGGTTCTCACCACCGTCGAAAACTGGGACTTGTGCCCATTCACCACGGGTTTCGCCGCGATCGTCAACCCGTCTTCCAGGTTACCCGGTATCGTGTAAACCGCGGACCCGGGTTTATAATGAAACCCGTACCCGTGATGCGTCGTCGTCTGAGTCACGGGTCTCGACGTCGTCGTCAACGCAGGGAAACCCGGCGGAGCGACAGTGTCGATTGTGATGGGCGGCGTCGACGGCGGCAGCGGCTCTGACTGACCGTCGCTCGTCGGGTCTCCAAAGGCAGAGCTTTCTATGACGACGGACTCGAGGTCTTTGTTGAAAGTGACGGAGCCGCGAGCCCGGACGTCGCTTTCTGCCGCACTTTTCGACGCGTTCCTGACGGGTTTCCGAGGCCCGTGACGAGCGGGGACGGGTTCTCTGCTGGGTCTTTTGTCCGCGGAAATCGACACCAAACAAACGCCGGAAAGCACGACGAGCATAGAAATGAGGAGGAAGAACCCACGAGTACCTGGAGACATGACTGAAAATATTTCTGTATAATAGAAGCGAGAGAATAAATGTCTCATCAATTTCTTCAAATATTTAGGAAATAATCGACCAGCAATCATATCATCACGATTTTCGCGTTAAGTCACAAACAATCAAAGTTCACCGATTTCTTGAATAATTGGTCATAAATCTGTTTTGTGGTAGCACAGCTGTCAAGAATCCTAACATCAAACTGCAGAAGCAATTATTCGCCTTTGTTGTTCATCACCAACAATGGCGTATTTTGGCGTAAAATTCAACTAATATGACCTATTTTTTGCGCGCAATGACATAAACGAAAAGGTCTCCACTTTTTCACCAATTTTTTGCAACATGATCCCGAAAAAAAAACAAGTTTCACCAGAGAACGAAGCTTCTTTTCTAGAGAAAATGAATTTCAATAATCCCATCCGGAACATTTCCATCATCAACATGCAGCTGTGACACGAAAATCGTGCATTGGGAAGTGGACCGCTTGTTTGTTTGCGCACGAATTCCATTAATTTGTTCAATTTTTTACATGCATTGTTTCGTGTATTTCCTTTAAATTTGTTTCGTGATACTGAAAATTTGCTGAAAGGAATTTCCGCATACTGCATTTTATAAGCACTCGGTTGCACGAAAAAACTAGCAGGAAAAAACCATCACTGTGAAGTTATGCATGCTGGTAGTGAAAGGAAAAAGGGGTCGGTTTTTTTCCATTCCTTGCGACAGTATCGAGAAGTGCTTTGTCAGTTAGATTGACTAATTGTTCTCCATGGACTTGGCATGTAAATTGTCCTGCTTTAAGGGAGGCTGCCAAAGGAGGATGTTGTTGTCTGAGGCCTTTAGCAATGGCCTTCCTCCTATGGTCTGCCACAGTTAAGTAGGCAGCAGCATTTAGTTTCAAAATAGAAGAAATTTTCTTTTTGCAGTCAGGATCTCCTTTGAGATATTCCAGCAAATCCACCAAAGCTCGATGAGTAACCGCAATCGATTTTTGGACTCTGATGATTGACGTCCAGTTGTTGGTAAAAGGCTGGTAAACTCTTGTAGATTGGGGCATTTGTACGTGGTACAATGCCCACAGTAGTGTTAGTAGCTTGCAGAAAAGACTTTTCACTTTCTTCAAGAAATGAAGGAGCAAGAGCTGCAGATAAAAATGGTTCGACAAAGAAGAGCTCTTGGTAACGGCAAACTCCATCTGATAAAGTCGGACCAGTTATGAGCGGCATAAGCTCAGCCTCCAGCTCAGTGAAATCAGCAGCCTGATCCAGACATTGTCGTTTTGCTGGCGGTTCTGAATATAAAAGCGTAATAAAAGACAAGATATTTTAAAATATCTTGAACGCATAATAAAAAATGCACCTGACGAAAGTCAGCGCAATTTATGGGAAAAAGGGATAAAACCACATATTTCCCTAGTATTCCACGGGAAGATAATTCCACGGGAAAAATGCTTTTATTGGAGTAAGGCTTACCAGTAAATGAACCCTGAGGAACAGGTGATCTCTCAGTCACAGGAGGCGAAGCCAAAGGAACAACGTCAGCGTTGTTCATGTGAGGGGTGAATTCACCACCCTCCTCACTTGTAAAATCACTATGAAATTGATAATCGTCGTCAAGGAACAACATGATTGTACAAAATCCCGAATGAGTGAGATGGATGTAGAATGAGTGACGAATTTGGAATTCACAGCAAAATTGTGTACGAACACAGGGAACTGTATCAGAACACCTATTCGGACACAAGCTATGAAAAAACCTAAGGACGGAGAATCCCCGTAGGAGTGGTGTAACCACTCACCACGGTTGATGAAGAAAGACTGACCCCTCCTAGCATTTGGAGACCAGATGAAGTATGGCCGAATTCATATGAAGAGAACCAACATTGTTAATACTAACATATCCCAGTCTAACGTTGCACTGGACTGGGATTTTGTTTTTTTCCATTCCTGTCTTTATTTTATTCTTCAAATTTCATGTTGTGAGCAACTTTTTGTGGAAAATATAAATCGGGAATGGACCAAAATTATATCCTGTTAGATCTTGAAATTCTAAAGTACAGTACTCAAATTTTCTGCGGAAAAAGTACCTCAGTGAAAAAAAAAGATGATTCGAATTAACTAAAGTTTATGAAGGGTTTAGTTTGACATCTGCAAACTTTAAAATATTGAATATATTTTCAGACAGCAAAAAAATACAAAATGAAGGAAACACAACTTCAGTCCAAGAATATTTCGATTCTAACTACGTAGAACTGAATAATTGCAAATGAGTCACGAAGAAAAATGTTTGTTACCCAATCATGAACAAAAATCAATTGCATACAGATTCATTATAAAAAATTTGAACAGCACTTGCGCAAAATCCACCCTCTCAGTCAAACGATTGGCTGAGCAGAACTGATTCCAAAAACCATTGAATAAGTTCCGAATTTTCACGTCTTTGTTCGAATTGTATTGGAATTACTGGACATTTTTTTGACTGGTTCTTTCTTTCTTCTTCTTTTGTTTCAAAAAATGTTTTCTGGGTGCCACGCTGAGCCGGCAGCAGCGGGTCGAATGCCGATCGACGGATCAGTGATTCTTCTCCCCCCCCAACAGGAACCGTGACATTTCGCCCCCGAGGAACCCGGAAGGCGTGGCCTTTCATTTCCTCTGTGTTTCCTTCTCCAGATCTTTCAGCCCCCACTCATTTGTTTATCTGATTCTTTTTCATCTCTTTGTTCCCTTCTGGGATTAAGCGTGTGAATAGGAATATGGATTTCTGTTACAGTGGGACCCCGAACATCATAAGGACTTCTAGGGTCACTGATGAATGAAAGAAAATATATCTGCTGCCCCGAAATCCGACAATGTCTCCAAATATACGGAATAACGGACATATTTGTGGAAAAGGGGAAGAATTTTATTTTGCGAAATTCGGATAACGTTGAGTCTCAACGGATAACGTTGAGATAACATTGAGCTATTTTAAGCTCGCAAAAATCGATTTTATCATACATTTGCTCTATTTCATACTCAAAATTTTGCTCTTTTTTCAAAGTTATTTTACTTATTTCAATCATCTGTGCACAGTATATTGGCAATAAGGCTTGATCTTGATCTTTGCTTCTCATGCTCCTTTTTATGCCATTCATTATTTTCATTTTTTTAAAGTTGGAACCAGGATGATTTTGGTTTATTAGAAAATTTTCGTCTGTGCGGAATTTTTCTGCCAACTTTGACAACAGTCATGAAATCCCTGAAAAGGGTAACAAAGAAACAAGTTTCTTGAAACCCAATTGGTGCGTCTCGGGACGCGTCTCGAAATACTGCAAAATAATCCCCCTGATGGGGCAGCAAGACAAAAACGATTGTAAGCATTTGAAAAACAATTTCCTTCTCTAGCAATCAACCCCCTTTTCTTTCTTATTATTTATCAAGGAGGTCATATGACCCCCATTTGTCTCCTTTGGGTTAAAGAGGGTCCAAATTTTGCCAGCTGCTGGCCACAACCCTCTGGATTCTTTATTTCTTATTTTCCTTTTGGCTTCCAAGAACCATTTGTCGTTTGAGAAATGCAACACGCTTGACTTCAAGACGTTTTTGAAAAGGCAGCTCTAGAGTAATTTATACTTGTCTTCGAAATCTGCGCAGCCTTGTAAAATACTTGTCTTCAAAACCTGCGCAGCCTTGTAAAATACTTGTCTTTGAAATCTGCCCAGCCTTGTAAAAATTTATGAGCTAAAAGAAAACACCGGGTTCCCGGGGAGCAAAACATATTTTTCCAAATTGCCTATCAACAGCCAGATGTTGTAAAAACACCAGCACCTGGTATTTTTGAGGAAACCCAACAACTGGGGAAGGTACTCAGATTCAAGACCATGTTGCCTAAAAAATTATATAAGACCCTTGACTTCCTGTGACAGAACACAGTCCAAATTTTGCGTGCGAAGCGTTACGTTGTGTTCTCAAAATTTGTATTTGCTAAAAATT